TCCAGCTGCAAAAGCTCTCTCTGTTTTTTCTTCCCCTTCTTAAGTATGCTATCACAGAGGCGCTGATTGGCTTGGCCTTGGCCAGTGGCAGGGGCGGGCCTGGGGGGGCCCTGGCATTGGCTCTGTCAGACACAGGGGAAGCTTCTAGCAGCTTCTTACAGAAGCCACCCCTGTAGCCCCCCCGCTACCAAAACATTGCCATGCAAACCCAACACAGGTACCTATTTAAATGTTTTCCATACATATTTTTGAGGTCTGAAAATTAAGTATTAGGACATTAATACTGAAATTAGCTATCTGCAAAATCAGTTGGAAGAGCTAGACAATCTGAGAAGTCCACATTTAGCATGGAAAGCTGCTATGCAGGGGAAATGCTGAGCAGAGGAGCGTCCAAATCTCTTGCCTCCTTCTGACTTAAGGTGCTTGCTTTTCTGTCTGCTTAATAGTCAGAGCATGAATTCTTTGAAGGGCACTGATGCCCAAGTGAGCAGCACTTGCTGCTAAAATCAAGGCCGCTGTATAAGATGGTAACACTTCCCCACACTAAAGGAAACTAAGTAGTTAAACCAGCTGCCTAGAAAGGGATTCTAGATCTTCCTCAGCCTGAAAGGAATGAAATGAGCATCCTTCCTTCCCAGGAAAGGACAGATCCCTTCCTTCTTTGCCCTGGCAACAGCCCGAACTTGGAGTGGCTGGGGCATCCTTTCCTTGAGTTGAAGCTATGCTGTTATGCAGCCAAGAAGAAAAGCATTTTAGGAGCAGAGTGTAGCCCAATGGTTAGGGCTCTGAGGTGAGAAGGGGGGATAGAATTGAATAGAATAGTTCAGTTGAAAGAGACCAACAACAATCATCTAGTCCAACTGCCTGACCACTTCAGAGCTGCTCAGAAGTTAATGCATGTTATTAAGGGCATTGCTCAAATGCCTTTTGAACAGTGGCAGGCTTGGGGCATCAGCCACCTCTCTAGGAAGCCTATTCCAGTGTTTGACCACCCTCTCTGTAAAGAAATGCTTCCTAATGTCTAGTCTAGACTTGGATTTTTTTTTTTTTTTTTTACCCAAGAGATTTTTCTGTTTGTATTTGTTTTGTGTTTGCTTGTTTAATGACTATCCAGTGTAAAACGCTAAAGCAAGTCTAGAAAAAATCCCGTATGTCCTATTTTTATGCAATTTTTTAAATGATATAGGCAATTTTGTAAAAGCGTTAGTTGCCACATATAGATACTGCTCTTCCAAATGTGTTTCTGAGTGGATCTGATCCTCATGATTGTGTCTGTGTGCTGTGTATCCCTCTCATGCGATTTCACATTTGGCTTAAATCCAAATATCATTTAGCCTGCTGTTGCAAAGAAAGGAAGGCCCTGCCCTCCATACTGGCTGCTCATTCCTGCCCTCTCCAATTTGTGATTTTTTTTTTTCTTTAATCCAACTTAAACTGATCTTCTATTTATTTAATTTTGAGGTCAGTTAGATGAATGAACTGATCCAACTTACTCTATGGTCAAACTACTGCTAAAGCTGATATAAAAGAAGTGACAGAGAAATGTGTTGGGTTGGTGTGTGGGTTTTTTTTGATAGCAACCATGAGTTTAAGTCTTAGGCATGTTCATAAAATGCCTAATTGGTTGTATTTGTCCAGATAAAGCATCTTGTTTCTGGATCACCACAGGGCTTATGTAAGCATCCTTTTTTCCCGGATTGGGGCACAAATGAGTAACTTTAGGCTCCATGGAAGCTGTAGGTCAGATGGGGAGTCTGAGGAATGCCCATGACTTTCAGATGTGGGCTTGGTTAGCATTGTCTTGGAATAAAGGGTGTAAACATTGACTAAGCTGAGTCCAAAGATGAGGCTTAGTACTAAAAGTTTGTGATTTGAGCAAGAGGAAACCGTACTCCCTCACAGGTCAGGAGATTCTCACATTTCATTTTAAAGGATAAAAGCATTGATTGTTATGGCATGTACAGCCGCAAGGTAATAAAACAACAGAGCAAATACATAGAATTTATTAATGTTGTTAATGAAACAGAGGAGGCTGTATCCTTCAATTGTATGTGACTAATTAAGAAATGTATTATAAGTACATGAAATACAGAGTTGCATATATTGTAAACAACTGTGCTGCTCACATGTTAAGCATCACCACTAAGCCTTCTTATCCAGTATTTACATTTATGCTAAAAAGTATTCTAGAGCCATCAGGTAGCTTATATAATCCTCTTGGTTTCAAAGAAATAAAATCTGTTCAATCAGTCTTCCCCCATCTGTCTCTCGTAGCGCTGCTCTTCCTTATGGCAGGCTTATAGCTCCCTCCAGAGTTCTGTTCTGTGCTAAAATAGAGAAAAAATTGAGATTCACTGTAAAAGAATCAGATTTTGTGCTCACAGCATGCCATCTGTATGACTCAGTGTTTCACTAACAGGCTGGGCTACACAATTCTTCTCAATTTGCCTGTTTTGTCTGGTAGCATACTGATTTACTTGTAGAATTTGAAGACATCGGGGGATTTACTTAATAGGTTTCTATATTTTTCTATGCCTTTTTATGTGCATTCACTGGTTTTCAGAAAGATGACACAAAGGATTGTAAAAGAAAAAAAAAGCCACAATACAGTCAAGACAGCGTATTATAAAGAAAAATGTAATGGTTAGAGTGCATTTATGTTTTTTGTTCCTTTGTTCAGTGATCATTGACAGCAGGACTGAGATACTCCATTTATCTACATATTCTAAATGGGTTTCGGGCTAAAGTAAAGAAAATGCCCTGCCTTCCTACACTGTCATCTTTGGATGCAATAAAGTAAGGCTAAGTGCACACTTTGCTAAATACTTAATTTGTGGCCATACAGATAAAGAATTGTTATTTGGCCCAGCTATTAACTAAGGTACAAACAGCATTTCTAGGTCTTGTCTAACTCAAAATTTGTTAACTGTTTTTAAGTGGTGCTAATCAAATAATCTCCTCTAGATTGTCAGCTTTTGAGTAGTCTTCCTTTTATTTATCTTTGATTAATTACAAATGTATTGGATATGGAGGTATTACAGATCTTGTTAGAGACTTGAGATATTCATGAATGGGTCATTAACCTGAAAATCTGTCTATATGTATTTGATGTCTTCTGCAGCAGTGCATGGAAATTTGCCAAAATAATAGGAAGAAAAGTGTTAATTTTAAAATCAGAACTTGTAAGGAATTTCTCTGTTGTTCTTAACAATGCCACAAGCCTCCAGTGAAATTTCTTAGCAATTAATGAAAACTGCTGCTAGGTTGCTTATGGTGTGGTTTTAATCTTTTTGTTTGGTTGTTTTTTTGCTTTTAACCTATGGAGATACGGTTTCATCCATGTGGGAAAGTTTACAAATTAGCATCTAGTCCAATACTTGCCGCACTAATTTTACAACTATTTGGGTTTCATAACAGGGCCGTTGTTTGTCACAATGACCAAAACGCATGTGATAGCAGCTTCAAAAGAAGCATTTTACATCTGGCAGTATCGTGTGGCCAAGAAGCTCACAGCAATGGAAATTAACCAGGTAGCACGGACCAGAAAAGAAGGCAGGGAAAGGTTTGTCTTCAGGCTTTGTGATTTTTCTTCCTTTGCATTGCTATCATTGTTAAAGGTGGATTCTCCCATGCCTAAAAAAATGAACTGTCTTCTCATTTTTCTACTCACGTTTGTTGACTTGCAGGCCTGTAAGATTAAATACTACAGAACAGTTTTTCATAACAAATGTGTGTTTGTTATCCAAATCTCTTAGGCTTTTTAGGATTAGTTCCTGTTCAGTGTCTCCATTTGCTTGCTGTGTGCTTCACTTAGAGCTGTGTGTCTTTATACTTTTTTCCCCCTCCCTTTTTTCTCCTCCATACTCTTAGTTTCTAGGCAGCTATGTTCCCTCTGATGACTTTAACTGTTTCTTGTGTGTCAGTGGCTGTAAGGATGTAACGTCTATCCAGCTAGTTCTTCTCTAAATACACTTGTGTCTGATTATATCTTTGATGTCTAATCCTGTATGGACTTTTATTCTCTCAAACTAAACAAGCCAAAGTCAACAGCATCTTGCCTCTGAAATATTTCCTTCCCAGGTGCTCATTTGTGGCGTTAACTTTTCTGCTACCTCCACAAGCTTGCAAATTTGTTATGATTTTCTTTTGTATTATTTTATGTTTTCTTCTAGAGATGCTATAGCATCTTTCTATAAATTTACCATCTCTCGTCACCGTATATCCAGAATAATGAGTAATTATTTGTACATGGTGTAATAACTTACATTGTTCTAGTACCTGAATGTCCTAGCCTTGGACAAAGATTGTAAATTTGATAGAAATATTGAAAAAGTGAATAGTTGTAATTCAGCATAAACTGTGATTTTAGCATTCTAAAATCTTTCCTAATGCTACTTTTTAAGGGAAAAAGTTATGTTGAAGTATGATGAAATATTGAATGTAGTAATACATAAGTTTTGTGGATATGAAGGTGAAGCTTTTCATAAGTATGGAGAAGAGCCTGAGGAAATATGGAGGTGCATGTTTGAAAAGAGACAATTGGGGTGGTTGATGGTTTGCAGGAACTTCTTGTTGCAGAATGAAAGTTTATAGATCGTATGGGAGTAGACCATCAGGGGCTGTGAAAGTGAAAGCAAATACCATCTCTGCATATCAGTACAAAGCAGGGTTATCAAAGGGGATACTACTGAAACATAAGAACAGGCATAGCTTTTATTTTCTTTTCCAATTGCAATGGGTTCTTCTCCAAGGACTGACGATACCTACCTGCTATCAGAAATGATCCTTTCTTTGGACTCATTTTTTCTTCTAACTTTCCTTTTCTACAGGATTTATCATATTGATGACACCCCTTCAGGATCTGCAGATGGACACCTTGATTACAGCAGAGCTATTGAAGTGAGTGATGTTTTTAACTGCTTTATTGTGGTGTCACTGGTAGCTTGAAAGAGAAGTAGTTAGTATTGCTTTATTTATTTTCATAGATTTTCATTAGTAGAAGTGGTCATACTTAAACTTTTACTTCTACCTTTTATATGTAAGTGTTATTATTCTTCCCTCCGGTTAGTATGTTGTTACTGTTTCCTTATGTATTGCTGGAAATATACACCAAACTGTAGGGAACATAGAAGAAGTATATTCTGGGGTCCAGTATGTAGACACCTGCTGTCTTGGTGAGAAGCAGCTCCCCTTACTTCAACAAAGTATAAGCTTTTTGAAATTCAATAACCCTTGTAATATTTTCTAGTACTTTTGGTATTTTTCACTTTGTGTGTGCGCACATGCTTGCTTTTGTACTTACCAATGTACCTGAAATTAATTACAGGCCTCACAAGTCAGGAATAGTTGCTTTCTTTTGTTTTCTGTTAAATGTCTGTTACATTTTGGGTTTCTTATTTTTCTGGAGGTGGGGCAGGAGAAGAAAGGAAGCTGTTAATATTATTATTGTCATGATTCCCATAACAAAGGCTACTAATATCATAAACCATCAATTTACAGTATACTGACAAAGTTTGATAGCCCTTTTTCATGTAGATACTTAGCAACATTCTTGTATGTTTAAATAAAACTTCTTTCTTTAGCAGTGCATTCTTACTATTGCATTAAAACTGATACTGATATCGCTTGTATACTTTCAGGGAACAAGAGATCCAATCTGTGCAATAACAGCATCTGATAAGATACTACTTGTGGTAAGTTGCATGATTGATATTACTCCTAATTGCCTCTTGTGCTTGTAGACAGGAGATTCTTCTGCAGTATGTTCATAAGCAGTCATAATTTTGAAGCATTTCTGAATTCAGAACTTATACAGATGAAATATCTTTCTAGACACTTTCAAAGATAACTTTAACAGGTTCTTCTGTTAACCTGGACTCTTTCTTTAGGAGGGCTAACTCACTAAGTGCTTACAATTTAAGTACAGACTAGTTGCCTGGGTTAGTACCTATACACAGAGTTTGATAAAGTCCAGGTCAGGACTTTATTCTGTAATCTGAGTTCTGGGAAGTCTCTTCTAGGCTGTAGGTAAACGCACAAAGATTTACAAAGTCTGTCCAATTACATATTAATGGTATAATGTATGATGATGGATAATATCACATGTATGTAGTATGCTATATATATATGAGTACATTCTTGGATTATAGATACGTATGATGTATGAGGTATTGTATCATACCAAACAGCTGGTGTGGTTTTTTTCTGATCTGAAAAGAGTGATCTCATTAGACGAACAGACGTACTGGTGGGCTTTAAAACAAACTAACTGCGCAGAACAAAGATAGAAAAAGAACACTGTTCAAAATTCTCTCAATAAGCATTGCTTTTCTCTAGGGAAGAGAATCTGGTACTATTCAGAGATACAGTCTTCCTAGCGTGGGTATAGTACAGAAGTATACCCTGAACTGTCGTGCGTATCAGCTGTCTTTGAATTGCAACTCCAGGTGAGTTACAGATCTGCTTCTAACAGAGTTATCTGATTTTAAAATAAACCACTACAATTTGTGAAAATACTAATTCTATGTATTCTAGGATTCTGTAATAATCATTTACTAATTTTACTTTGATATAAACTATTTATTAATTTTAGTTGTTATTAATGGTTCCTTAACCATTTATTTATTAATCACATCTGGCTAGTCATCGGATTGCTCTGAGAGACTGTGTTAGTAAAGCTCTCGTATGTTTTAAACTAAACTTTAGGGTGCATGTGGAAAGTTTAAGGAAACATATACATGAAAGTATCTTTGTTTTATTAGATGAACCAAACATAAGCTTCCAGTGATCATGACAAGAATTGACAAAATTATGTCATAACCTGAAATTTTATATCTCTAAGTCTTCTTTCTGTTTCTGTGTCCTCCTAATGCCTGGAAACTTTGTTCATCCTATGTTAATTTTCCATTGTTACAAGCTGTAACTGGTGGCAAAGCTTCTAGCAAGACTGGTTTTCCTAAGCTTCAGCTGTGCCAGTACTGAAGTTGCTTTCTACTTAACAGCTATTTTTTTTGCAAGAGAGAGTGCAAGAGTCTCGGCAGAAAAGGCAAAAATATACTGACTAAAGAGGACTCGTAAGACAATTTTAATCACTTCAAAATGACTTCATAATTTCAAACAAAATTCATCATACATGTGTAAATTGCTCACCTTTTTAGGTATAGACCACAAATAGATTGCTTCACTTAAAAGGCAATATGATCTAGTCAGAGCTGCATTAGTTTTTTGGGTGGTTTTTTTTTTAATTGCTTTTGAAATTTTAATAGAGATTAAGGTTGAAATACCTTTCAATATTTAGAAATGCTTTTAAAGTGGCATTGTAGTAAATATAGGCTACTGTGACTCACTGGAAATTTTCAAATTTAACCCTTTAGAAATTGTATTTTCCCATATTTTAAATAACTGCAAAGATTAACTGGATTATACTTCGTATTGCCTGGAAAAAAAAATAAAGAATACCCTTTGTAGAAATATAAGAAATCTGTTTTAGAGATTAACAGTCTGCATCACCACACTGTCTTTTTCATTTAAGAATCTGCTTCATTGCCTCCTAGTAAATAATGAAAACCAATTCTATTCGATGGCTAATTTTAGGCTCTGTCAAGAAAAGTTTTGTGAGGGGCAGAACCTGCAATTTACTCAACTTGATATCTGAAGTATGAAGGATCTTTAGAATGCTGGATGAAAAATGGGCATATTTTTGAACCTTTGCAGTGCCAGATCCTCTATGAGCTGATGAAAAACTTCTTTCCATGTCCCTGGTCCCTCTCTGCTGTGCAGATAAATGAAAATCACATGCATCTCACTGAATCTATGGAATTATACTGGTATTAGATAGAGGGGAAATTTCCTGAGTGTGCCAGTTTAGGGAACTATTTCAGATTTACAACCTTGAATGGTATTATTTAGCTCTCTTATTTTTCCTTCCTTTGTTTTTTCTGTAGTCGTGTTGCTATCATAGACCTTTCAGGTGTTTTGACTTTCTTTGACTTGGATACACGGGTAGCAGACAGTACAGGACAGCAAGCGATAGGTGAACAGCTGAAACTGGAACGCAAAGATGTCTGGGATATGAAATGGGCCAAAGATAACCCAGATTTGTTTGCAATGATGGAGAAGACAAGAATGTATGTTTTCAGAAACTTGGATCCGGAGGTAAATATTAACATACATAAACTACTGATTTTACAAATTTGCTTGCAAGTTAATGGCTCTATGTTGAATAGCGTTATTCTTATGCTTACCATTCAATTAGGCAAGTGTTTATACAAATAAACTTGCTTCTGGAAATCTCAAAATCTTGTTAGCTCTAATGTGGGAGTGTTAGTGTTGTTTAGGAACAAATAAGTAAAATGAACTATCAGTCCTGGAAAGCTAAATATGTTGTCATATTTTTCTTAAATGTATGAAATATTTTCAGAAGCGTATTTTTGTATGCTTTGGAAAATAGAAACACAATTTCAGTAAAGATATTTGTAAAATACAGCTCAGTTGAATCTAAATATTGGCAGGTGTTCCTTTATCTCTTTTTCATAGCTTAGTTATAGAAAACATGAGCATTTTAAATTACGTCTGTGTATATGGAATTGTCAATAATGTTAATGATTTTAGTATTTGTTTCCTGTTGGAAATGCAATTAAATCCTAGTTTGGAGAAGAATAAAGTATCTTTATATATACCTAACAGATTTGGTTAGGATTTAATCAGACAGAATACAAGTTCATTCCTTTGTAACTTATTTAACTTTAAGGAACCTATACAAACTTCTGGATATATTTGCAACTTTGAAGATTTAGAAATCAAATCTGTTCTTCTGGATGAAATATTAAAGGTAAGTGTAATTAATTTTATTTTGTAGGAACAGTTTGTGTCTGTCATAATGATTTGAACAGTAGATATGTATGTTGGGTGAAAATAAAGGTTACATGGAATAAAATTATGTTTCTTTATCCATTATGTTAGAATCCTGAACATCCTAACAAAGATTACATCATCAATTTTGAGATTCGGTCATTACGAGACAGTCGAGCATTGATTGAAAAAGTTGGCATTGAGGAATCTTCCCAGTTCATAGAGGACAATCCACATCCCAGACTTTGGTAAAATCTTTTTTTAAGCTAACTTTGTTTAAATTTGTGTTCTTTTGTATTCTTTTCCTGTTCAGACAGATCTGGTGTTAAAGTACAACACCTCCAATCAAAACCAGCCAAAGCAGTATACACTTAAACAAAATCATTTAAGAAAAAGGAAAAAAAACCCCATAGTAACAGTGCTCAGCTGCTATCTGAAGGGCTGCTATTCTAACTGAGAATGTCTCTTCATTGGACTGAATCACCTCGAAAGGGGTATTACAGCATTGAGAGGACGCCCAAAGAGAGCCTTGCAGTCCCCTACTAGCCTGGCTCCCCACCTCTTTTGTAGTTGATATATTTGGGCAGTTTCAAGCTGTGTTATGATTTCCCAGAACGAAAGAAAGAGAGTTTTTTTTCCTGAGCATTTGAGAATTCATGTTTTAGGAGACAATGAGCAAGTGTTCAAGACTCCTCAGCAGCCAACTTAAAAAAAACAAAAACAACTTGGGGCCAGTGCTTCCCCAAGCTTCTAGTTCTTGAACCCAAAAAAGTGGGCTGTTGTTAAATTGGAACTCTGTCATTTTATGAATGTTGTAGTACCTGGAATGGTAGGCATGCCATGTGTGTCACGGTAGTGGGTATAGGATATGGGCTCAAGACACCTCTTTGCTCTATGCTGTATGAGCCCCAAAATGCAGTGCTTCTTGCTTTTAGGGGTGAATCTGAAGGAAATGAAAAAGCTGACAGAAAGCTAACTTTAAGTTGGTTAAATTAAAATTCAAATTGACGGTTGAGAGGGTATTTATTTATTTTATATTGAATCTTGATGACAAAGAGCTTAAAACTCAGTAAATGGAACACATTAGAATGGTAACAAGAGCAGTTGACTAACTTTGTAGCATTGTGGACAGACCATAACGGACAGATGAGAAAGGATAGGTATGTTAATCATGTTGTTTTGCAGCCTCTCAGAAGTAATCTGAGAAAAGGAGATGTTGGCATGTTTAAACTAAACGTGGACTCAGCTATTAAACTAAACTTGAAAAGCCTGCACAGTAAACATTTGAGAATAAACCTGTGAAAACAGGAGTTCTGGAAATCTATTTAATATTCCATGTCATAAGGGCTGGAAGAGTAAATGCCTCAGTAGATAATTTAATGAAAAGTCAGTAGCAGAAACTAAAACTTCATTGACAAGTTACTTGTTGAATGATGCCAATTCTCTTTAACTTCCTGGAGATTGTTTCTCTATCTGTACCTTTCTGTAGTAATTTTGGCTCTGTTTTGAAGCTAACTGATTTCTTGCAGTATTGGATGTTTGGCTTGCATCAAAGGGGGTTGAGAGTTCTCTGTTAGTTCTGATAGTTCAGAGGGGGATTTAGAATTGCTGAAAGGCTGGCCAAGACAATTTGCTTTAGAAGTTTGTCCCTAAAAGCATTCCTTCCTATCCAGTTGTGCTTTCGTCTCCAGAATGTACATTCTGAAAAACAGGATTTGATAGCTACACAGAGTAGAATATCTCAAGTTAGAAGGGACCCACAGGGATCATAGAGTCCAACTCCCCGCTCCTCGCAGGACTACCTAAAATTAAACCCTATGACTAAGAGCGTTGTCCAGATGCTCCTTGAACTCTGACAAGCTTGGTGCCCTGACCACTTCCCTGGGGAGCCTGTTCCCGTGACCGACCATCGTCCCAGTGAAGAATCTTTTCCTAATGCCAATCTGAACTTCCCCTGACACAGCTTCATTCCATCTCCTTGTGTCCTGTCACTGGTCACCAGTATGAAACACATTATCTGGTATTTTATGCTGTGTGTGTGTGCACGCGTGTGTGTCTGTGTCTCCATATAAAGCAATTTATGTTTTATTATGTAGTTTTCCTAGGTTTAAGAAATAGATGCTTCAGTAACAGTACTGTAATTTTATTAATTTGAGTATGTAGGGTATAATGTTAGTTTTGTGAGTTTTCATTTTTACTAATGTCTTGAACTAGCTAAAGATTTTTGGAGTTTTAAGTCATTCATACCTTCTGCTAATAAAATGAGTATTAGTTTTGAAAGTCTGTGTCTCAGTAAAAAATTTATATTGTAAAATCATAGAATCATAGAATGGTCTGGGT